TTTCTATTATCTATGTCCAACAATTATCTATTTTTATTATTATCTATTATTTATCTATTATCTATTTCTAACAATTTGGAATTCTTTTAAGAAGCCGGTATTACTGAACTGTTCCCAGACCGCGTTGTCTGTATACTGTCTCTAATTTTTTGTAGCGGAGAAAAATGGGGGTGGAGGCATTTACACCGATTGTAGGGCTTATGGTTCGGCCACATTTCAGATCTTTCGACCCCGTTAGTCTGTTTGTTTGTTTGCGGTAGTATTAGTAGTGGTAGTAGTAGTAGTAGTAGTAGTAGTAGTAGTAGTAGTAGTAGTAGTAGTAGTAGTAGTAGTAGTAGTGGTAGTAGTAGTAGTAGTAGTAGTAGTAGTAGTAGTAGTAGTAGTAGTAGCAGTAGTTGTAGTAATGGTAATTAGTAGTAGTGGTAACAGTGGTAGGGATGGTGGTGGTGGTGCTCGTGTCTTGTGTGACATACTTTCCTCGGGGAGGAGGCGCCAGACTTTTCCTTCGTTGTCAAGCGGGCTTTGGTTTTGCCAACCTGCGAACCCCAAAACTTCCAGGCGGGGATGTGGGTGATGTCTCGCTGCTTTTACCATTCTCTCCCAAAATAATTCTGTTCCGGGATCTTGCATTTGCTTCAGACTGATCTTTATTTTACTTCTAACTTCCAGTTTCTGCTCCTCCCTATCCAACATTTAAGTACTTAATTTCCTTGATGCCCATTTACGGTGAGGCCATCGGCGGGGGGGGGGGAATTGCAGTCTCGTCTTCGAGACGAGAAGGCGGCAACCCTGTTAAGCATTCCGCGTCAAACCTTGCCGTTCTGACCAGTAGACCGCACTAATTTCGTTTCATAACGAGCACATAGTCTAACGGGTACCGGTTACGTGAGCGAGAATGTGCCCGCGTTGTCATCCCCGTTCGGAAGGCAGAATACGGTGTTGATGATGAGAAGACTGTGTTCTGTACGTGCCTGTAGCAGAGGGAACAAGTCGTCTTTGTAGATGGCCACTCCACGCTCGCCTGGCGCTCACTTCTAGATAGCTCGATCTTTGCCTGCGTAGGCACCTGAAGTCACCGTGGATAATCAGTTACTCCGCCTTCGGCGCAGACGTGAGGAATGCGTTCAGGTCTTCGTAGAACTTGCCCTTCACGCAATTGAGGCCTTTCGTCTGGGAGGTGTTCATACTGCTGGTTGTGGCAAAGTGCTCCCTGCGGAGTCAGGACCTCGTCGTCATGGGACGATCGTTGATGTCCTGCAAATTGTAAGAAGTCCATTTCCTTCGGTTGTTCTTGTTCGGAGAAACCGGCCTCGCTGAGAGATGTGACGTCGAGCCAGTTTGCAGGCAACCAGGACTATCCCCCCCTTCCGATCGGTTGGCTATTTAATGAGTAATCCAGGTTCCCAGGACAAGCAAAGTCAGTCTGTCCCTAGTCAGGGATGACTGGTGTGATGTAGTCGCTGTGCAGGACTTGGTTTCATGGAGCCACCTATGACAGTTGAGTACCTAGGATACGATATAGAAGCGCTCATTCGGTCAACTAATGAGTTTGCCGGGACCTCAAACCCACCAGTAGGAAAAGCTCGCCAAACGCATCAAAGAGCTTGGCATGAAACCCCGACCGTAGTAATCTTTGTAACCCTTAGAATTTGTGAGCGTCTGCTGTGTCATTACTCATTAAACCGTGGCCCTCGCAGCCTGGTGTGCCCTAGCAGTTCTTTGACAGCTGGTTCTTTGCCAGTAAATGCACCTGCAGTCCTGCTAAACATACAGGTCTTGAACATGGCTACCCAGCTATCCTCGTCTTTTTGACCCGTTGTGCGGCTATTGTTGAAAATCCTGATCGAGTGTTTGTTGTGGACCAGGGGGTGTGGTGCTACGCCGAGGCACGGGCCCGGCCGTGCCAGCCACCTGCGCCCCCCCTCTCACCTCCGGTCTTCTTGACCATGTCTTGACACCGGCCCAAGTGGGGAGGAGAGAGTGCGGTAGATTCTGCGCAAGTCTACACTTATTATAAACTAACTCACGCGCAAGTCACCGTGTCTGCTTCACCTTGCAATGGAGTACACAGAGGACATCGTCGGGCACAGTGGTCGAACTATCAACCTACGCGAGATACACCTGAACCGTTAGAGGCAAGACAAACTCGGTCAGTAAATTTTGATTTGAAGTCTCTTAAGTTACTGTAAGTGCCGGCAAAAGAATAAAAGTCATAAACTGTAGAGGTTAAGTCCACAACAGCCTATTGCAAGAAAAGCGCACTACCCACGAAATCCACAAGGATAAAAAAATATACATTCTGGATGCTGGAGTACGAACTATGGTCTGGGAGACCAGGGGCTGTGACCGAATTACACGAAACACTTCAATGGAGTCCGTGCGGCACGCAAATGGTGAGTGAAACAATTCTCAAGTGGCGGTGTGTTCAATTTAAAGAGCGAAACTGGATGAACATACTAACGTGAATCCAAGGGTCTAATTATCTCATTCTGAACTTTTTAGCGACGCCTTTAAAGCGTGCGGACCGGTGGAGATGGACCGATCCCTCTGCCACCACTCATCTTACCTGTCACCACAGAGCAACAACGTGTGGGATCAGAGAAAACTCTTGTTAACCAAAGGAAGCTAAGTTCTTTGGATGAAGTTGAGGTTAGGATCGCAAATGTCATTCGGTAAGTTACTCGTCAGCAAGTGAGGCGTGCTTCCAACGGGCAGTGGTGTTGCTTCATGGTACGTCCAGAATGATATCGGTTATGTTGAAGGCTCAGACGCAAATCTGTACGACTAAAACTTCCATACGCAATCCGAGGCAACTCTTATCACATGCTCATCGAGTATTGCTAAAGTTCTAACTTGGACGCGAGTTTCGTAACCATCTCTAAAACCATCCGCAGCAGCGTCCGAAGCTAAAAAAACTTGCTTAGCATGATGTTTTGCAGATGAAATAGCAATGCTTGAGATACATACATGCCAGGGAAATGTTTGCTTATATACCCCCCCTCCCCGACCGGACACGGTAATAGGACCCCTTCTCCAAAAATAATGACTTTGCGCTAAACTTCAAGGAAATCAGGGTTAAGGGTAGGGTTGGGTTAAGGTTAGGGTCGCGCTTTCTGTATGGGTAAATGCCCTGGAATTTGGCTCAAGGTCACCCGTGTTACGGGGAGGGCGTTCCTATCCTCGTGTCCTGTCGGTGGTGGCGCAACCACCTAAGTGATCCTTACCCACGCTAGTTAGAACTCTGCATCGAGCATATATAAATTGCATGTTTTTTTCACGGCATTAATTTATTTGTCACCGGTTTTCCGCTTTTCTCTGCCCATCAGCTGTCTGGATATTCTGCCGGAAAGTTCCTAAACGGAGGTGAGGTTTCCAGTCATGATGGCTTTTCCCAAAAACTTTGAGGCGTTGTGTGGCGGCCTTATCCACTCCGCCACCCAAAATAAATTAGGGAAAATAGGTTACTTGTAGACTTGCTCCTGCGACTTGACCTAAACGAGGCCCGTACTCGTGCTAAATTTACCGTAGAAACTTATAGTTCCACTAGTCGATTATATTGTAAAAAAAGGGCGAATAATCTCTCGGATTGGGACATGGCCCTATCCATCACCGTTTGACCCCGCCCTCAGGACGGGCCATGTGCTAGCAGGGCTGTTTCTTACTCTCCTTCTGACTCGAGAAAATTCTCGTCACGCCCTTACCCAATTTTTACCCCGAGAGTTTGCTGGTCAAATCCACCCAGCCTCTTCTGAACCAGATGTGCTCACTACGCTTAGCCTGTCCCACTCGACCGCTGTCTTTTTACTTGAGGTGTCGTAGCGTGAGCTTCGGGGTGAAACAGCTGGTTGACAGTGATCTCTCGTGTTCTAAATAACAGTAGTCAACTCCTTACTCGTATCGGTTGCGCGGATAGAATTACAAAGTCAATAACTGACCTGAAGATGTCGCGGTCTTCGCAGTAACTCGACGCTACTATTTATGACGGCATGTTAAGTCTCAATGCAAATCCTGATTGTGGGATCGAGGTGCACCCGTATTCGGTTTTTTATTTTCCAACTCATTTTAAGTTGGTTTCAGAAGTTCCAGCTTCCACATATAGAACTGACTACCTATTGGGGCGGGCTCTGTCTATATGGCCTAAAGAAGCAAAATGCTCTGATTCAGAAAAAAAACGTGTTAAGGTGGAGGAGCTGCCGCCTTTATTTCCTCATCGCAGAGCCGGAGTTAGGAAGCAAATTGGTAATGTCCAGTCAGTATGGATAGGTGAGCGCCATTTCCATGCGACTTTAAAGTACTTCCAAATACAGTGGTCAGGGCGAGTCTATGGCCAGACAGGTGGAGCCTTTATCCCGATTCGGACCTGGAGTCATCCCCGCCTGGGATTGGGGGTATGACTGGCTGGTAACGGCTACTAGACCCAAAGGAGTTATTTCAGTCCCTCTTGTCTTTATCAGTGCTACGTCTAGATAAAAAGACTGTTCTGAAATGAAAAATGAGTGCTAGGCTTTCAGGCCATGAGGCTTCTCGCATGCGTCATCAGTGCAAAAAGGTGGTCAGCGGAAAACAAATTAATGCCTAAACAGAGATGCAGACGAATGACCGCCTTAAACGACAAATAATGTAGCCTTTATGTATTTTAGGACTCTCCGCGGATGAAGACTGGTAATTCGTATAGATAAAACGCCCACGTTACTGAACCACGGCCAACATGTTTTCTGCCTGCGAAAATTATCAGTATGTATGATACACAAACATACAGCTGGTTGTATGGGGAAAGAGTGTGAGCTTGGTGGGTAACTTAAGAAAAAACTGAATGATCCGACTAAAGGGGTGGAAATATACGCAGTAGTTCCACTGTTTTGGGACAAAAGAATGCAGGGACGTACAACTTCAGTAAATTCACCTTAGAAAGTCAGTCTGACCACTGTCCTATTAAACATAAATGTTTTGGAAGAGCGCACTAACCGATGGTTACTGGTTGCGCCACATCTTCAGCACTGCTAGCAAGTAAAATGGAAACCGAAACCTCCTGGTGTTTCGAATACATTCTTACTACCTTGACGACAAACGACCTATTAATAAAAGCTCATAAAAATCCGGTTTCTTGTAACGTTTAAAGACGGTGAACGCTTGTTGTTGTTCTCATTTTAAGTTCAAAATATACCAAGGACGAAAACAGATTTTTTTAGGAGACCTCGTGGAATGATAAGTTTTACCGTAAATGGGTCTCATGATATTTTAATGCAGACTTTTGAAGAAAAATGTGGACTTTGAATCGCAACCAATAAAACAGTATCGAATGGGAAAAATAGAGGATAATGAAGGCTGGTTGACAGAGGACAAGGAGGCAGTACACAAATGAGCACCAACCAACGATCAAACTAGACTACTTTGCGTTGTCGACTTTTAGTGGGCCAACATATGGTAAGTGATCTATCTCATGAAAGATTAACGGAAATTCTGAAATGTGTTTTCGACTAGGACGAAGTACTTATGTGGTGTTGTAAAATTGCTTATCCTGCAGGATAGTCCTAAAGATGTTTCAGTCACACTAGGATGCCGGTCGTTAAATGCTCCTCTTTCCGGCCGCCTGCAAAATCAGCACTCGACAAAAGTGACTACCTAAGCCGCATGATTCGCTTCCGTTGATTTCCGATGCACCTATGAACTGAAATATAATTCGTAGAAAATGTGCGCGAGGGCTCCGTGCTGGGACTTCGGGGCAAAACAACCCATGTAGACCGTCCTATAACCATGAAGGTTCCATCAGTGAACACCACTCCAGGAGATTTATCACAGAGCGGTTGTGGACCTCCCTAAGGAGACGATAGCTGCCGGTTAATTTCTACTCTTAAGTTTTATTATAGTACCATAAATCCCCAAACCAGACAATGCGTACAGTGCCAGGCACATTGGGGTTTTGAGGTATGCTCAAAATGGCCAATCCCTGTCGTGGCACAGCCTGAGGATTTTTGATTTCGGTCAAAGCATTCCTTCGAATCACGCATCGTGTTTAGCAATGATGCTTCCGTCGAAACTTAGGAATTTCATGCCGCTGCAACTAGGAGCTTTCTAGACCATTGATTCTAACATAGTCCCACGCCCTCGTGTTGCTATCAGCTGAAACGTGCCCGAGGTTTCGAACAGTTCTAGTCATACATTCCATGTCTTTGAATGTTTTCACAGCGTTAACCGCGGAGGTCAGAGTTCTATTTCAAAAGGAACCCTGGCATCAATAACCAGTCGGATCTTTTCATCAGAGTCCCTGCTGTCGAAGCGATGATTCCTGTCGGCATCTCTTATGACCTACATTGGAGGAGAGTCCGTAAGCATGATCGCCTGTTTTTCCATGGATACATCTCAAAGGCGTATGTTGTCCGCGCAAGCATAACGACTCGATTAAAGATTTCTACATGAGGTCCTTCTCCGGGACAAGGTGGTATTCTTTTACCTATAAGTATGTGTTCCTTTGGTGTGGTCTTAAGTTGTTATAGAAGATTGAGAGAATGAACATGGAGGATTTCAAACTACTGTCAAACTGATGATGCGAATTAGATGATCAGCATCTATCATAATGTGCTTTCTCCAATATATCGTCGAGTTTGCAGTGTTTTTATTATCTATTTTTTATAATTCCATTCTCCATACTGTTAGAAGGCCATGAAAGTATACTGATTGACCCGTGTTTTTAAAGGGGATCTGCAAGCTAACTTTCGCACTCAAGTTTATCATGCTGTCGTCATTCGACGGAACCGGTGACGATCTACATTCCTAAACCACTAATGCACGTTGAGCGAATAATGATACTAAATCGCCAGAACAAAGCGAAATTTGAAGTACACATATAAATGTGGTGGTTCAGCAAAACAACGAAGCCTGGACCAGGCAGCAGGGGGAAGTTACGAAATTATTGATCTATATGGCATGATGCAAACGATTATAAAATTTCTGTATAGCTGCTTCACTCTCCCTGGGGATTCAAATGGAGAAGTTTGAAACAACACACATAATGGGATTTCATTGTATGCTACCAAGGGGGCATAGATCCTATCTCTAGCTTTGAAGCAGGTACTTTTATGAACCAGTGCCTTAGGAATGGAATCTGTTCGCATGTTTGTGAATTCCATTGACCTCGCATTAAAACAGTACATAAGGAAAATTCGCAAGACCAAAATCACAGCATCCGTCTGGTCGGCAAAGTTATCTACTTAAACCCATTTCCGTAAATGTGTCTATGATAGGCCTGCGGCAACAGACAATCTTGAATCTGGTATGCATAAAGCCACGATTAAAGCAATTTTACACACGTTGCACGACACCATACTGGCAGCACAGGTACCAGTTAAAAGCCTAGACACGTGTTTCTCTGATATTCTGTCGCTGCATGACTCAGTCGCAAGGGGTTACGCTCCTCAGCGCGGCCCCCATTGCTCCTAGTGTTCTTTCTATGAGATAATCCAGTTTTCAAATTCCATCTTTTTGATCTCCTCAGAAATTATGCCGTAGATTCGTGAGAACTCGTCCCGGCCTGTCGTGTCCACACTCGAAAAAGAATGACTGAAGCCATGCGGCCGCCAAGCTTTCACGAAAGGCAGGTGCTCCAGTCCACATGCATGCCTCTTAGGGGAAAATGATCCTCATCTCACTCTGAGCCGACCGCATGCCAAATTCTTTCAAAACAATACCTCTCCGCGTTACTTTCCGTCCAGTCACGGCTGACAGGAGAGCGGCTGGGGAGATCAACAGACTCGGCCGAGGGCGACATGAAGGTGAAACTAGACTATGATCGCTGGAAACTAGAAAACAGACACAGGAGCCTCGGCTGCAATTATTTGCGCGGCCATACACGACAAAGTTGATAGAGTAAGCGTCAGTCATAGGCCCTAGAAGTGTAAGCAAACCGCAGGAACACTATCTTTTCCCGTTTCCATCAACAAATCCCTATACATTAAAAAACCCGCTGTGGATGGTAAATCGAACATAAGCGTCAACCAAAGAACATGTTGTCAATTCTAATCTCCCTTTCGACAATCTGTTGTCAAATTTCTTAGCAAAACTCAGGATATGGAGCTACTTCTGTCAGCAAAAGGACACTGAAGTTATTTGTCTTCGGGAGACAAGACTGGATGATAATTTCGATTCGCAAATAATTGATCCTCCATCATTCTGCTGCTTTCAAAATGATAAAAAAGGCTTGACTACGCAGCAGAGGTGAAAGAATGGCTATTTTTTTCAATCAGAATTGGTGCGCAAACTCTAGGCTGTTACTCCACTACTTTGAGTACCTGATAGAGGTTATTATTGCTATATGCTAGTCTCGCTTATCAGATAATTTTAAAGGCATTATACTCACTAGTGTTTATATTCCTCTCTTTAACTATGAAGGTGCCTTGGCCTGATTTTTCGACTTTTTCCCTAAAAACTTTTTTCATTGTCTTTTAACCAGCTTATTCTCTTTTGGGACTATTATAACCATGCGAACCTACGTCCCTTACATTTTTAGATCGTTAAGTGCTTGTTGTCTTTAATACTCGTGCCGAAGCCTCTCTTAATCACACTTTACTTAACCACCCAGAGCTTTTTCGTGCTACAAGTAGGGCTCAATGTCTGGTTAAGATCATTCTCTGTTACCAGGCCTTCTTAAAATCTACTCCGCTTCTGATCGCGCATCCCTAAGCAAAGTTACGGTTCCCGACACTTCCCCACAAAACATTTGTATGCTTCAGAATTCTATAACTAGTATTATCCTCTCATTTCTTGAACTACTGAATTTCGAATCATGTCCTAACTGCATTACAACATTTTTCAACGCAATTTTGATATCTGTTGTTCTCTGGCAACTCTTGTGATTAGGCCTGGTAGAGTTTCTTCACCATTTGTCAAATGTTAAAGGCGTCGAAGGGAACTCCTCCACAAAATAAGCCTGCACGAGTCTAAAGAAAATTAACGTCCTAACAAAGGTGGAGATTGTCAGGCTGGACGACATATTTGTCTTTCTTCTCTTCTTCCGCCCCTCCCTTTCTATCTTTTCTCTACTAACATTTGGAGGAATGTTAGGCATCTCATTGGTCAACGGAGCATGCTGGCACATGCTGACACTAATTTAGACTCATTAAATCATAATTTTATGTTTATTTCCGGTGGGTCTAATCTTCCTGCGAACGGAATTTCGTAATCACTGTACATATTTTGTCCCGTATCCGTGGCTACGGTTGAGAAACATCTTAAAATGGTCCTTTGGTCAACAGCTGTCGGGCTGGATTGTGTTTCATAACTTTTCCCTAAGTCCTTTTCTGTTCAGATAGCACCTGTTTTAACATACTAAAATGTCCCTCATGGAGTCAGAGGTCGCCGTTGGTTGGCGTACAGTGAGGATCACTCCTATCGCTTAAAACGTCCTACTTACTTTAGTCCTAGGTCCTCCCGTCCAACTGTATGCTATCCCACGCTTCTGAAGCTCGCTGAACGAGATGCTTTGGGTGCTATTATGTCATTCTCCTCCAATTTATCGGTCTTACAATTAGCATATAAAGCCAGGAGTAGCGCCATGCATGGTACTACTCTTATGGTTCACCCCGCTCTAAAAGACCTAGACAAGGGTTGTCGTGCGTGCGCATGTGTATTTCTGGACTACTCTCCTGGCTTCAGTACTGTCGCGCGCCACTCCTCCTTAGAAAAATGTTTGAGAGCGGCTCTTCCGACTGGAGTTTTTCTTGAATCAGATATTATTTTGACTTCCGCGCTCAATCTATCCATTCTGGCAGTCATAAATATACTGTTCATCTTAGTAACTACGGAGTCCTTCAAAGTTCCCTCTTTTTTCCTCACCTATTCTCACTTCACAGTGATGACCTGAGATCGTCCAATAACTTCCCGATTATATAGTGTTCGTCGACAGTTCGACCGTCAATTCCGACGATGTCCCCGTGCGGTACACAGCGAGTTGCAGCAGGTACGGTGACAGCAGACTTGCGCAGCTTCTACCGCACTCTCTCTTCCTCATTCCCCATCTGGACCCGGTGTCACGACAGAGTCAAGAAGACGGGGGGTGGGGGAGGGCGCAGGTGGCTGGCACGGCCGGACGCGCACCTGGGCGTGCCGCCACATCCCCTGGTCCACAACATACACTTGACGAGGATTTTTCACCGACAATAACAACACACCAACAGGGGTCAGAAGGACGAGGATGACTGGGCGATCATGCAAGAGCGCAAGCGCATCTCCCGGCAGAGAACTAGGTGTCAGGGAACTGCCAGTGCATACCAGGCTGCGAGGGCCATGGTTTGCTGATACTGGCACAGCACACGCTTTCAGACCTTTTGACCTAGATGGGCGACACGTAGCCCTGCAATTAGCCTGGGCCGTCACCCTTCAAAGCTGTGTAATCAAACAGTCGTTGACTGAGAGACCCTTCCCATAAAGCGCACAAAAAAACACAAACACTCTCCTCACGTTCATGAGAGTGTCACAGATCGCTTGAGAAGGGGCTGTGACAGCCTGGCTCTCAGCCCACCAGTCCACACAACATACACAGCTGGGCAGACTGCGTGGACTGAGTTGGGGCGCCAGTTGGCTGCCCTCCGAGTCACGGTGTTCGACGCATCTTCTTCTCAAACACCGACCACACATGCAGCATAGGAACCGCATTGAGACGGAACCGAGACGCACATTTCCCACTTGCGTGGCAGGTGGTAATTGGGTGTTTGCGATGGGTGATGTTGATATGCGGTGAGATGCTGGTGAGAGAGGATGTGATGGTGTGGTGCAGCCGACGGTTGTCTACCGAAGGCTTTCGTGGACGCGCATGTGGCCTAATAGACCCACGTGTAGATAAATGTGAGTGCAGTGTGGACAGTGGAGGCGGATGCGGTGAGTGTAGGTTGGTGTTCCAGGCACTGGTTCGCTAGTCTCTGTGCAACGGATTCGCAAGTGACCGACCAGGCCGATGCGTGGGGTGAATGTACGGGGACAGTGTGGACATGAGAAGTCGACAATGTCAGTAGTGTTGGTCAACCCATTAAGGCAGAATTATCTCCACTTTCTGAAGGATGGCTTGGATCACGTCTCCGTGTGGCCTTTGGAAAACGATATTTCGTTTAACTATCAGAAATTATCCAGCGTGTTTTTCGACTGCGACCCTCTCCCATTCCTGAATCCTTTGGCATTCTTCCCAATGACACATGATTTTTCCGGCAATCTGGTGTTACTCTACCCTCAAATCTCTCATTCTCCCTTCATACTGAAACCTTCTTCACAATAATTCCTAAACTATTTCATTAAATTTGTCGTTTAGGTTCCTATCACACACGTGTTCTCTCTGAATTCTCTCTGTCATTCTTTATTGTCATTCTGTTATTTTTACTGTCTTGCTCAAAAGGATATGCGCATTCTAGAGCGCGTCCTCCGAATACTTTCTTCTGTCGCCGGTGTTTAAGACGTCATTTTAGTTGATATCATAATGCAATGGTAATTCACAACGGTCGAACAATTTGCTCGTCTAATACTGGAGGATGTTGTCCGTCTCCTTAACCCCGAATTAACGACTGCGAAGTCTCTCTGTCCAATGCGTCGTGGCATTCAGCATATCTCTGGCCGTACATCGGCATACCAACTTTCAGTATTATCATCTCTGTCACGATACTAACGTGCAAAGAGACCGACATCAAAAAAACTGAAACTCGAACTGTCCCCAGGATAGTTGCACATTCTTATGCAAACTCACCGACTCTCATCATTGTTAGCTTGTGTTCTGACCACGGTGAATGAAGGGTGGTTTTTGCTGGAAATTTAGGAATGCCACTTTCAAAATAAAGCGCGCTCCTCTCTCTCAAATTGTCCGGGTCTGCTCTCACCTTTCCAGCCCGGCCGGCATAACTGCCAGTCGGTTTATCAGGTTGCGAAAAATCAGAGGTCAGACGCTTGCCTTCCGCCAATCCACCAGCAACTGACTTGCCGCCCCCACCTCTGTGTTGGAAACATCCGTATTGGGGACGCTGGGGCAGCGATCTCAGACCAAAGTGGGTGACGGAGGGGAGGGAGGGAAGGTGAACAAGTCGTTCATCCGCACGGGAAAATGGGTGCTAATGGTCAGACTCCCATTGTCCTTATGTCCCTTCCGCCCATCTGCTGGGAATTGCTTTGAAATTTTCGTCTGCAAGACCTGGGCCAAACTTCGTCTCTTTCTCTCCCCTCCCCCATTTTTACTTCCGCTCCGACTCCACCAGCTCTTGATGGACAGCCAAAGCGGTCACCTTCTTCAGAGGACGCAGTGTCGGCATGACGCCCTGCCAGATATAGGTGCGTTTGCGGAGGTGGCAGGGGGAACTGATACCTTCACTTTTCTGAATTCGACGTAATATCCCGAGTGTATTGCATCTGAAACGGAAATGTGACTGCAGTTCCTTCAGCATGATATGGGAGTGAATGTTCATTCCTCAAAGTCGACAAAAACCGGTTCCGCCTCTCCTGACGGGTGTGCGTAGGTACTCGACGTCGGCGGTCGTGATATATGACGCAAAAGAGTCGACTAAAGGCGGTACCCTCTGGGTGTGTAAATACAACTACCCACTTTCCAGATTAATAAGCTGGGAAAGTGGTTTGCACTGAAGCAGCTAACTCTTCGGCGCACAGCCAATGGCCTTACGCAGTGGTGATCCATCGAAGGAAGTGACAGTAAGTGAACAGGTCGTTGCAATTAATCTAAGGCATCTGCTGTGAATTTAGATGGAGCCGCTAGATAAATCGATCCAGCTGAACCTGCGAAAA